GAATGCCGGGTGGCATTTTTATTGCAGCACTGAGCCAAAGCTAATACACTGCCCTCGGATGGTGCGTAATAGGCTCGGGTTCATACCATAATGCAGCTGAGAGCTGATCGTGTGCAGAACAAGAACTTAAGTGTGGGCCTGCTGTGATGAGCAGACTGGGCAGTGCCACCACTGGTGTAAAGGTCTGCTGCAGTCCTTGGGCTCGTGTGTAGTGGGAGCACCAGTTTGCCAGTACAGACCCCGGCTGCTAGGCTTACGCCTTGACTGTTGAGGAAAGGGATGTTCTCCTTCGCAGAGCCATAGGACTATATAGTAGGACACTGCCCTGCAGGTAAGGTCTGGATTTGTATGTTGGTAAAACATTGCTTCTAACTGACATTAAGAATCACCCAAATGTTTGCTGAATGGCCTAGAACAGTAATGAGGTTAGCCCTGAAATATAATTAACACATTAATCTGCTTTTCTATTAGTGTTATTACCAGGGAGGTAGCACTCACGCAGTAGCTGATCCTGTTCTGGATTAAATGGATAAGGAGTGGGTTATATATCAAAACATTTGGCATTTGCTAACTCCCAATTATTTTATATTCCAAGGGATAGTTTATATCCCTGTGAGCACCTGCAGATCACAAGGGCAGCCTGACCTAGAGCCTTGCAATGGAAAAATTAGCTATCTTGCAGACAGTGGGCACTTTATAAGTAGCATTCTTTTACTAAAAATTGCTACAGCAATTTGACTTGTTTTTCCTCACAGTGATCTTTACAAACCAGTTCTGAACACGGATGGAGAAATATACCCCTTAACTGTTCAAACTGGGTCACGATCTAGATTCTTCACCCTGAATCCAGTCATCTTTGTAGGTATTTAGATTTTCCAGCTCTAAGCGTGTTCTGCTGAGCACTGCTGAGGCAAATTCCTGCCCTCTCATGGCATCAGCATCGGAAGAAGATGAAGTACCCCAGAAACCACCGAGGACTGTAAGTCCTGCTGGTTGCCCCATCTCCTGAAGGCCAGGCAAACTGCCTCAGATGAGACGCAAGTCCAGATATCCAGCCAGGCTGAATCATCGCCATAGTCCTGCTGGAACCCTTTTTTTGTAAACAGCACAAGTTGAAAAAAGAAATCCTTCCAGAGCACCACATGGACTGGTTCCTTAACTCCTACTGTTTTGATGAAAAATGGAGGGCCCTTCCAAACACTTCTATGAATTTGGTTCAGAGCTGCAGCAGCGGTGGTCTGGCTAAATTGCAGCACTTGTTTCAGATGCAGTGTGAATTATTACATTTGCCTTTGGTGCTCCACTCATTACTCTTTTTTTTTTAAACTCAAATTTTCAAGAAATACAGGATATTGGAGGTCTCTTGCACAGATTGCATTTTGCTGTCTCTGTTCTCCACAGGTCTATGAACCATCAGATTTATGATCCATGTGTAGAAATAGAAGGTATGTCTGGAACTGAAAAAAGAACCCAGATACTTAAGTTTTTAGAGTGGGAGATCTGGAGCCACAACTCATGGATTCGAGCCCCAGCTTCAAAGCGCACACGCATGTATACAGCTAGAACCTAAGACATTTGGCAAGACGAGAGAAATCCTTGAGTCCGTTTGTATGATAGGAATTACAGCAAATTCATAAAGATATGTTGCAAGGTATAAAACATCTGATCTGCAGAATGCCACCTCCTACAGGAAATTTTTTTTCCCTGAGTTTGTACCAAACTAACAGAGGGGTGCTCCAAACCTTATCTGGAATTCTAATGAGCTACTCAATGCCAGTAGTAAGTAACAGTAATTACGACTCCTCTGCTGTTGGAGCCTGAAGCTTACCATTGGATCTAAGAGTCTGTCAAATGAATGACATAAAACCAGTCATAACAGTTGCATGTATAGGAAACTTATCGTGTCCTTAACTGAAATCATCGCAAGTGATTTATCATCTTTGCGTTCTGATGATATTTTTGCAGTCATCCATCAGTATCTGGGGCTCTCCCAAGCATCGGTGTCCTCCAGCCTTCCACGAACTGTTGTGGTTTATGATTTATGACTCGACAGCTATCTCAAGTGACAAATAGCCTGCAGCTCTTAGCATGAATGCTCTGGTAGCGACTCCAGCCAGCAGAGTCCCGAGCCTGAAGCCAACTCACAATTGCGGTTTCTGTTCAGCTCTTGACAAGTGACAGAGTAGTAAAATTACTACATGTCCCTTAATAGCTCAAGGGGGGGTTTCTGTGTCTGTCTTTCAACCAAGGAAGCCAGCAGTGGCAAAAATCTGTTTTATTGCTATGGGAACCAGAGTGGTTGGATCTGGCCATGCGCAGTGCAGCCACAAGACTGGGCTGTGTGAGCTGGGATTTCTACTGCTCAGGAGTCTCTTCAAGCATCTAATACAGATAGAGACATACAGGCTGATGTCTATAAACCTGTGCCCTGGAATTCACTGCAAGGCCAATGTTAGAGTTGGAATAGAGAAGGAGTTGGGAAGGAGGTGTAATAAAATTAGGAATAATCCAGTTAGAAGCAGCAATTACTCCATCAGATTGCACCTGACTTCTACGTGAGGTTTCCCATGAAAGCCAGTGACGTCTTTTGTTCTTTCCTGAACAATGTTGAAACGCTATTGATAGCATATATGCATGCTTATACGACTCTTTTCTGGCATCTACAGTGATAGTTTATTCCCTGCAGTAAATACGCAACATCTCACTGCTCCAGTCATTGCGCTTCCTGGTCACAGGGATGTGTGCTGTAGCAAGAGGCCTTCAGGATCCTTCAGGCTTTCGGTTTGAGACATGGCACTTGCTTTAGGCCTCTCCCTCCTGGCTTCCACTCATTGTTAATTGCTATCTTCCAAGGAGGACCAGCATTTCGGGATCTGTCTGTCTGTCTGCAGGTGGATGAAGACATTGCTCTCCGGTATCAGAAGGTCATGGCTGAGTGGAAAGCCTGTGAGGTGATTGTAAAGCAGCGAGAGAAAGAATCACATTCTGCCACGCTGGCGAAGTTTTCGTCGGGCAGCAGCATTGACAGCCACGTCCAGCGGCTGATTCACAGGGACTCCACCATCAGCAACGATGTAGGTACTTCCCATTCAGCCATACGGTGCAGGCAGCGCGGGAAGCTTGCCATTTGCAGAGCTGCAGCCCAGGGAAGCAGAGGCGTAGGTTAGCACAGCTCCATCAGTCTGGAGCTACGTGAATCCTGTACAGAATGTGAAGCTGTAGTGCCTCCATCACAGAGCCAAGAGCGGGTCTGTACTTTGGGTAGTCTATAGCTGTTCTTAAGCAGGACTTGCCTAAGGGGCTTTAAGATTCACCTACTAGAGCAGATCCTTCTCTCAGTAGAGGAATAGTTTTCTAGATCTCTTACTTGTGAGTCCTTCATTCACATCCAGCACAGAGGAGAAGATCGTTGACTCTTAAAGCATGGTTTTGATTCTGTCATGTCCCTGATTGACAGGTTGGGTGTGATTTTATTTTGGGAGAGGGGACCTTTGTCAATCTAAGGTGAGATGCTGAGCAGTAGAAAGGCAGACTGAATTAACCCCTCTGTAACTTGAATAACCAGGAGAGGGGTTTATTTTCACATTGCTGGACAGGAGACCTGGAGATATATTGTAATGACCAGATGTTTTGCAGGTAGGGAAGCTTCACTGCTTTCCAAGGTATTTCTAATTGAAGATTTTGAAGAGGGAGATATCACCACAGGAGACAGATATGAGATCATAAATTGGTATTATTTTTAGACTTACAGTCTCAGTATGAAGACTGAATGAGGAGCTCTCAACTATTTGCATGCAGGGAAGCTCTTTTAATCAGTGATCTTGTTCACTGAAATAACGCAGTCATTTCTCTCTCACGGCTGGAGGTTTGTTTGCTACATTAAATGTTTCGTGCTTCTCTATTCTCCCCTGCTTTATCCAAATCTTCTCTCCCCTGCCCACCCCCAGGTCTTTATATCTGTAGATGAAACGGACTCAGCGGAGCAGGACGCGAAAGGTCAGGACGACCCCGCTTTCACCGTGGTGTCTGCAGAGGCACCAGCAGCAGCAGCCGCCGTAGAGCAACAGTCTGTGGAGTTTGACTCCCCCGACTCTGGGCTGCCATCCTCGAGGAACTACTCTGTGGCCTCAGGCATCCTGTCCAGCATCGATGACGGACAGAGTGTCTCCTTCGAAGATGGGGCTGAAGAAGAAGCTAGCACTGACTTGGAAAGGACTGATCCAGACATACCACGTATGCAGAAAGCCAAGTCAGCTGTACTTCAGTCGCAGGATTCTGTATCAGAAGAGCAGCTGTGTTCCCAGGTGGATTATTTAATGGATGTTGCTTCTGTCTGCACTGCATCCTACACGGTAGGTCACAAGTATCATCATTTCTCTGCACAGCGTTGCTTTGCTAGCAAAGACTTGTACTTTTTGAGATAGGATTTAATGAGGCAATCCCAAACTAGGACTACAGGTGGTGGGATGATAACTGAGGATTTTTGCATCCAAATAATTTCATCTGGATTTTGAGCTAGATTGGAAATAAGACAGCAAGAAAAATTTGGGGGTTTTTTTTGAGTGGGAGGGCAAGAAGAGGAATGCGGTTACAGTTCTAGCAGCTAAAAATTTCCCAGGGCTGGGGGGAGGTATGGGGGTATGGACAACACACCACTTGTAAGATTTCAGTATCATTTAATTCAAGCTAAACCCCACATTCAATGCAATTGAACCACAACTAAACCTAGATTCAAGACTCCACCATCTCTATTAGTGTTGCTGTCACCAGTCTGGTAGCTGAGTTTTTGCCTGCCTCTCTCTGCTGAAGTTGCTCAACTAGAAATAACCCCCTGGAAACGGGACAGGCTTGGAACATTTGCCAGTGGAAGTGCATGCATTTTACCTGGGATTTTTGACAGTAATTGAGCATTTCAATACTTTCATATGCCCAAAGTATAATGGTACTATTTCTGGTTTGTTGATTCTCAGAGCGAATCTGCACCAAGTCCCAGGATGCTCTAAACTCAGCAGGTCTAACTCAAACTTTCCTCTTCTAGATAGAGTTATTGGACACTGTTGCCTTAAATTTGCACAGAATTGATAAAGATGTCCAGAGGTGTGATCGGAATTACTGGTATTTTACTGCCGATAACCTAGAGAAACTCCGAAATGTCATGTGCAGGTAACACAGCTTGTCAGCTGAACTACTTCTCACATTTCTGTCATAGTTCATAAACTATAGTAATACAAAAATAATAGTTTGTATAAAATTCTTGCTAATGGACTTAAAACTGGCAGAGGAGGAACATGTAGGACGGTAGGTTAGAGAGCATGGGTGTGACAGGCGGGCCACGTTTGGAATGCAGGCTTGAGAAGATTCTCTTTCTACCTCGAGAGAGAGACCCTATCCGTCACCTTGAACTGTTCTCTAAATGTACTATGAGCTTTGGTTTCCTACTTACGAGGCTAATGTATCCATGCCCTAACGGCGTGCTGTAAAGATGGCAGTAATTGCAAGGTGCTCAGATACAGTGTGGAGGGACATCTTCAAATCAAAACAAAATCAGAAAAGCATCTTTGACCACTGAGGCCAGCTGGGATCAATAGAAAGCTAGTTTTCACTTTTAGGAATGCAAATTGCCATGATGGCTGTTCAACTAAACACACCGAAAGCAGGAAGTATCTTAGATTTTAATGCTCAGAAAAGTTAACAAGATTCCACCTAGGGGAAAGAAGAAAACAAAAGCCAAAAAACCCAGGTACCTTTTAAAAATCTGGTCTTTTTTCCATAGACTGTTATGCTTTTGTTAGTTGATTTTCCAAAAACTGCTGATACGCAAGCTGTGTGTGTAAGGTATGGTCCTCTCTATCCAAGCACAAAGCAGTGCAGGGCTGGGGAATGCTCTGGAATGTGAAGCGTGAGTAAGTTCTGGAAAACACACATTCAACAGCTGCTTAAGATTTGATCTCACATAATCAAATTAGACTTCAATACAGTTTTTAGCTTTTGAGGAACAGGAAGAGAATAGTTTGGTGTTGGTTAACTCATCCTGGAAGTACGCAATTGATCACATTCGTTTACCCTTTCACAACACATTAAGAGCCTACAGCAAGGGTCATATTACAAGAGATATTGCTGTCTCACGCGCTGCTCTGTCCTCATCGTGGATGGTTTATAAAGCCTTTCAGGAATCTTCCTGAAAAAAAAATAATCAGAAATACTCATGTTTTTATACCAGTGTGTGAAGATTTGAATTGTTGTAGCAGTTCTCTGGATTTCTAGCTTTATCTTTTACAGCACTCTAGAACAAGACATTAAAAGCTTCCAAAAGGAGAGCTGTATTTTAGGTGTAAGACAAATTTTTGAGGCCACCATGCAGGAAGAGGATTTTTTAATCCTATTATCTCTTGTGTTTTCTTCTTTCTGCAGTTATGTTTGGGAGCACCTAGAAGTTGGTTACGTTCAAGGCATGTGTGACCTCCTGGCTCCTTTGATGGTTATACTTGACAATGGTAGGAAGGGTTTTCTTCTGCAACACATTGGTATCTTTAGGGAGGTCTTTCTTTAGAAATGCTGTTTCAGAAGCTGAATGCATTAACCAGGGCTAGCTCACCAGGAAAATCAAACCTGTGGCTCTCGATCGTATTTTCTCTACATGCAGCTGTTGTTGCAGTGGCAAACATCAGTATCGCGGAATCCCCTGCTCACACACTGACTTACAGATTGAATTTTACTAAATTTTCAAAGCAGTTGCTGAAGCTGAAAACTCAACTGCAAGTTGGGTTCTTTTGAAACGTCACTAGTAAAAATGGTCCAGAGTCAGGTACTGTCTTCTCTTTCATCTAAATACTGGTGATGGGATTAGGGAACAGCAAAGAGGAGACCCCCGTTTTTCCCTTGTCCTGCAGTATGTTATTTTGGTTGAAGGAAGTCACACAATTAGCAACACTGAGCGTTCTGCTTTGTATCTGCAGATCAACTGGCTTACAGCTGCTTCAGCCACCTGATGAAGAGGATGAGCCAGAACTTCCCCAACGGAGGTGCTATGGACACACACTTTGCCAACATGCGGTCCCTAATCCAAGTGAGTCTTTTTGAATCCTGTCTGAAAGAAGATGAGGTTGTGGCAGAGGCTCAGAACTAGCTTGATGCCGTGGTGAAGGGCAAGGGCTCCAATGACTGGGGCTCCTTGTCAGAGCTGGGGAGGGTAAGAATTGTTTTAGGCAGCCCCAAACTGATTTTCTGCTTCTCAGGGGACAGCGTTTGCTGTCACAATGAAGATTTGTGTATTAGAGCAGGTCAATTCATCTTAATTTGGCAAGCAAAACAACCCCCCAAACTTCTGCCTCCAGTATACCAGCTACGCAGCGTAATGCCTCCCGTTTATGGCTCAGTCCAGCTCCAACTGAAGTCAAATGAGAAATAGCAGTAAGACCCAGCCATCGCTGCTTTTTGGAAGAGAAAACACTGATATTTGTGGCACAAACTTACTTTTTACAGGTTTAAATAGACCACAGCTATATTCATATTCACACAGGATGCTTGCTGAATGGGGGTTTTTTGGATGGATTTAAGGCCTAGACATTCCACCCCAGAAAGCACCAGGCACCTGAGCAAGATTAGTGTGAAGAGCGAGAATCAGGATAAGCCATTATTTGGTTTGATAGATGGTATATTAAAAAGTAATGAAAATAGGGGTCAGTCAACAAAGAAGATGGCCAGCACAGCAAATGCAGGTAGCACACGAACATATGGCCGCAGTGTTTCTGTTGAGCAGCAAGACTGCCAAGAGGATGCCACCCTGCTTATCCAGCAGCCCCTAGGATGAAATCTGTGAGGAAGACTATAGATGTACTTACACATTTAAGACATCTATCAGACAGTTGGCAAGTAGTTGTTCAGTTCCAGAGAGCTTGGATGTTGCAGTGTGGGACTGTGATCATCAGAATTACCAGCTTGCAGCAAAAAAGTCCCTTCTCCTCCTTGTCTCCAGGTGAATGGATTTTGCTCTTTGCACCCCAGCTCCTATGTTACAATCTGAGAGTAGAGTTGGGTGGGAAGATGAAAATTTGCCACTTAATGAAAATCCGTAGGATCTGTGACTTGCTGCTTGGGCCTTTAAAATCACTGTTGTCGCCTCATACCTGCGCAGCAGTAACTCTTCACCTCATCAGTCTGCGTCAGGGCACCCCCACCACCGGCATTTTGCAAACATAGCAAAAGGACAGCTCTGCGCTAAGCAGCGGCTGCTGACTAACTGCAGGATCTGGCAATGCAGAGCAGCGTGGGAGCCTTAGCCAGCTGCCAACACCTTTGGTCTTGGCTACTTTCAGACAAGATACTGACAGCTGATGTTTTGCATTTTAGATTCTAGACTCGGAGCTTTTTGAGTTGATGCACCAGAATGGAGATTACACTCACTTTTACTTCTGCTACCGCTGGTTCCTGCTTGACTTTAAAAGAGGTAATAGTGTTCTGTGCCTGTAGAACAAAAAAAAAACTGTGCAAAACTGTGAACAGCTCTGTGTTTTGGTCTAAATGTCTGGCTGGTGAGTAGCAGCTAGGCTCACAAGAGGGTTTGTAGCTAGGAAAGCTAATGCAACCCTCAGAGATGAACTAGCACTGGGATGAAGTCAAAGCTTAGAAAGGAGCGTTGTAAATTCCTGATAATGCGGTTGGAGCCAAGTTTGTGCTCAGTGCAAATGCCTGTTTGCTCAGGTTGATCATACTCCTTTGTAAGCTTTGATACCTCCTTTCTAATCTGATAGCAAAGAGCAGCTCAGCGATAGCGCAGGAGCTGTTGTGCTTTGCAGAATGAGGTACTTTATATACTGTGGGAGCACCCCGCGATCTCAGGATCCCTGCACCCACAGCCACTCTAACAGCAGCAGTTGCTTGTAGTCATTGGGTACAACGTTGCTGGAGAGAGACCCATCGTGCTGTCAGGCGAGGCAGTAGCTCCTTTGAGTAGATTGATCTGCAAGAATCAAAAGACGACATCCCTCTCAAATACTGTAAAGCACAGAGGTGATAGAGGGAGGTGATACACATCCATCAGCTCTTTATTACGAGCATCTACCTGACCGTGAGGGGGAGGAATTGTGACTCTTAACTGAATAGTAAATCCTCCACCTACTCCTTCACAGAGAACTGCCTGTCCCCCCACATCCCAGTCCCCTGCACCTCACTGTCAGGCTGGGCAGAAGATAAGCCTATACGGTTCAAGAAGAGAAAGCTCCCAAGGGCTGTATCTGACTTGCAGCATGCGTAGACCCAGCTTACCCACATCCACTATCCAATTAATTGTTGCCGATTAAGAAGAGCAGAGCTTTTGCTCCGATAGGTTCATTACAAAGCCAAGGAGGCCCTGGATATGCATTCATGTTTCCAGCCTGTCCCGTAGCCCCACCTTGAACAAACAGGCCTGCCTGTGCTGCTATCGTGTGGTTACTGCAGCTTAAGCATCTCCCTGGGGTTGAGTCTGCACCACCACACCTACGTTTGTTCTTAGTTTTCCTTTAAACCCAGTTCTGTTGCCATGCTTGCACATGTGGCAGGAGTTGGCTGGAGGAGGGGGAGAGGAAAAGGAGGAGTCATCACGTGCTACTCATGTCTGCATAAGGCCTGTAAGACGTTAGTTAGAGGGGGGGAAATGGTCAATTTGAATAATCAGATGCTCTTGTAATGTTTATTCCCATTCAGAATTGTTGTACGAGGATGTATTTACAGTGTGGGAAGTTATTTGGGCAGCAAAGCACATCTCTTCAGAACATTTTGTCCTTTTCATTGCCTTAGCACTTGTGGAAGTTTATCGAGAGATTATCCGTGATAACAACATGGACTTCACTGATATCATCAAGTTTTTTAACGGTAAGAGACTTTAAGAGTGCCATTTTGATAAAAAGCAAGTAATGAGAGTTTGCTCCTTCTCCCTTACTCAGACTATCTGCAGCTGCGCAGCGTTCTGGCTGCCATGACAAGCCCTTGGTCATTTTAAGCTCTGAATCTCTTACCCCTTATGCAAATTAAGAGCCCAGATTTTCACATGCGTCTTGAAGATCTGACTTGGCACACACAACCAACAGTGTTCTAAGAGCTACGTGGACCGCAGAAGATGGTAGCTTTTTCAGAGTAATTTTTACCACAAAGCAAGCTTCAGGATTTCTGCTACAAAGATTTGCCACAGTGACTCTTTGCTCTTGGTTTAATGGGAGGCGCTAAAATGTTGCTTAATTTTCTGCAAAACTCTCTCACAGGTTTTAGAATTGCCAGAGTCACTTCTGTTTACCCTGCTGAGGCTGAAGCATAGAAGCAACTGTTCGTGCAAAACACCCCAAACGGCTTCCATGGTTGATTGCTTACCGTAGTGGTCCGTAGATGCCAGCCAGCAGGCACTGCCAGAGCAAGAAGTATTCTGCCAAAGCAAGCTAGGTCTCTTCCTGGCCGCAGAACGCAAGTTAGGCCTAAGCAAGTGCTCCTGTTAGGATATTTTAAGAGGTTTGGAAACAATTCTGTGTAATCACAGTAATTTACTAAATTATCAGTGCTGTGGCTTTCAGCCATCTGTTGCAGAAGCCCCAAATTTGATTTTGTTTTTGCCTCAGCCACTCTTATTCCAAAGCTGTACATTAATGCTTCCCTCAAAAAAAAACCCCACCAAAACCAAAAAAACCACCCCAAAGAAAACCCAAACAAAAAAAAAAAAACCACAAACCACCACTACTTGCCTGAGCTGAAAGAGATGTTGATTGTGGAACTGAAGATTCGGGTCTGTCGAGAGCTACTTTCTGATCTTGCTTCAAGCTGCAGCGTGCAGATGTCTGTGTGGAGAACCCTGTGAGCATGTTGCTCCGTGTACATGAAGCCCTTCTTAATTGCATGTATCACTTGCATCCCTGCCTGGAGCGGGATCTTTTGATCAAGCTGGGTTCAGCTTCACGTTTCGGAGATGCCGGGAGGGCTGTTCACAGGCACGTGTGGGTCCAGACCTCCCACTCCTGGTCCCAGGGCACTGGGATGTCTGCAACAGGAGAACTGACACCAGGAGGATTAGATCTTGATGCTAGGGCCTACAGCACTAAGGGATTCATCCACTTATGCTGTCTTTAATTCTACAGACACAACCCCCTGCAGTGCTTTTGGATGGCTGCTAATGTTTCACTAATTAATTAATGCTAATGATTAGTATCAGTGCTAGGGCAGAAAAGTTCCTGCTGCTGACAGTTAAGAATGTTTGTCTGTGTCTTTTAGAAATGGCAGAGCATCATAATGCCGAGGAAATTCTGAGGATAGCAAGAGACCTTGTCTACAAAGTGCAGACACTGATTGAAAACAAGTGATAACGAACAGACTGTCAGTGTGGGCCTTGTGAGCTGTCGGCCGGAGCATTTCTTGCACTGTAACTTCAAAATGGTGTTTTAATTGCATCTTCCATGTAATGTAATAAATATCCAAGAGATTTGTAACAGACTTTTAAAGCCAGAACTTTTCCTTCACCAGATGAGGTTTGTGTTTGATAGTCCTTGTTACACTCACTTTGTATTTCTAGACAGAATCTTTTTGCATTCTCTTATTTCCCTCTCTAGAAGACCGTCTGTCTACATATTTGAGATACTAAAAAGGGGGGATTTGACGTACTAGAACATTTATATTTTGACTTACCGCACCTTTAAAGCCTGGATGCACGTTGTGTGCTCTGCCAGAACCTTCCGTGGAGGTAAGGCCGGATCCGGTACTCGCTCAAGTCTTGCAAGTGTTGAACTGGGTCCTTGGAGGAGCACGTTCGTGGACTCGGTGTCTGTGCCTTGAACGTGGAAGAGAATACATATGAGCTCCTGTTACTAAAACATTTGGATTTGCATTTAGCAGAGTATTTAGCAGCAATTAAAGTAAATAAGGTTACGAGCTGGGAGAATGGCCTTAAACTAAATACCGTGGTTAATGTGAGCAGTGAAGATCTGGAAACATTAGCTGAAACCATCAGTTAGCCTTTGCTGACAAGCTCGTGCTATTGAGTCTTCATGGCCTACACATGCCACAGACATGCCTTCGTTTTACTTTGCAAACTTACTCTGCAGATAGTCCCAGATGACAAGATCTGCCCAACATAGTTTGCGTTAACGCAAGCTTAGCACACGGAAACAGGTTCCCTGCTCCTGTGAGCAGCTCCCACGCTCTCTGCGTCTGTGCAGAGCGCCGTGAAGTTCGGATCCTGCATTACAGAGCAGACACAGCCGAGCCTTGCCTCCTCCGGATTACTCACTGCGCACTCCTAGCCTCCTCTTCCCCCCTCTGCAGAGCTTTCTGGGAGGACTTTCCTTGGGATCCTGTGAACACCAGCCAGGCGCTCGTCTGCTCGAGCAGGTATCGGCACCTGCCAGACGAAGCAGTTGAAATGGTTGCACGGGATCTGCTCCGCTTTGCTGCAGCGCTGTGCTGGTTTGTAGAGCCGTCCCTGCGCCCCGTGGGAGTTCTGTGCCGCTCGTTTCCTGCTTGGCCGCACGCTTTAAGTGGCAGCGTACGTTTCACCCCATCCTGCAGAGAGAGCAGAGGTGGCTGACGGGCAGCTGGGCGTCTGCCCTGGCGCTGCAGACAGGTCTGTGGCCGGCCTAGCACTTCATTGCACTGTATAAAATCGTCGCGTGTGCTCCAGCTGCTTTCCCAGGGTGCCAGTTGTGCCTGAGTGAGCGTGTCCCCGTGTCAGGAGGGGGCGGGGGGGGAGCCGGTTTTAGCTAATGGGTTTAGACGCAGATTTCATGGATACTTGTGACCTGTGCTTCTAGAAAACCTAGGGACTTCGTTTAAGCGCTTCAAGTATTGCAAACTATTCCACCCTTTGCCATTAGAACCTTCAGTGATTTTAAAAAAAAAAAAAAAAAAAAAAAAAAGACAGTGAATCTGAATTTTTGTGTTTCTGCTGTTTTGGGGGGTTTTAAATCCTTCCAAGCAGACAGGGTTACACAGCTGCATTTCCACTGAACCTTGTAGAGAAAACAACTCCCTGCTTTCCATAGCCTCAGAACGGTTTGGGTTGGAAGGAACCTTTAAAGGGCATCCAGTCCAACCCCCCTGCCATGAGCAGGGACAGCTTCAGCTGGATCAGGTTGCTCAGAATTTACATGACTTAGATGAGCTTTTAGAATCAGATTTTAGCAAAAAGGGCTTTAGGGAATAAAATTACTCGGTTTGAAGATTCGAATGCTGATAAGGAGGTATCTGCTTTAGTAACTCTGGTCTTGTTACTACCCAAGTAGTGGGCACTGCTCGTGCAAGACAAAAAGTAGATTTGGTTCTAGAAAGACCATGCTTAGATCTTTATGATTGCAGCAAACTAAAAAATGGTAAATAATAGTCTGAAAAGGGACAAAACAGGACACAAAGTTCTTAGCTCAACAGCCAAGCCCTCCCTTAAACTGGTCCTTAAAAATTTTGAGGGGAGAGTAGAAAACCCAACC